ACTTGCATGGAAGTTTTAGCAAGAGAATTCACATACACTCAAAGACAATGCCTTACCTTTTAAAGATTATGGTCTTTAATTCATTTGGCAGCATCAGGAAGTATAAACATAGAAAGGTGAGGAAGAAAGGGGCTGTTAAGGTGTTCATATTGGCTTAACTTACAGAATGTCAAAAGATTATAAATTAGATAACCCTAAGGTCCAAGAAGAGTGGGAATAGGGTAAACTGGTAGACTCTGGCATTGGGAATGAGCTTAAGTCAAGTACTAAGAGGTAAAAATTCTGGTTAATTAATCCTCTCTTCCAAATTCTTTTTGTTACTATCTTACTTTGAAGTTTAGACATCCTCAAGATTTTTCAGGTCTGGTTTTCTTCACCTGATTTATTTTCTCCTCTATGGCCACTGAAAATATGTAAGACTCTAGGAACAGAGACCATGTTTGTTTCATACACTATTATGTCTTAATACGTAGCAATACTTAGCATAGAGTACACAGGCAAGGAGAATTTGTTGAATAAATTTAATCTATATGAGTAGTTGCTTCAAGTCTCGGTGAACAGATCTAGATAAATTAACAGAAAGATGAGTTTTTAAATCTTGCTTCTTTCTGCTACTTTAGTATCTATGGGATTTTGGAACTTCTAAGACTTATCTTTTTTTTTTTTAAGCAATAGAGAAAAATTATATTAGCCCTTAACTTCTAAAGCTTGTTATTTTCCCCTTGTATTAAATGGTACAATCCTTTTTAGAGTTATAGTAATGAGAGATGAAAAATTTATAAGTGTTACAAACACATAAAAGGCATACTTTTTAACTTGAGAGCCTAGGAAATATCACGTGCTCTTCAAATTTTTTCTTACTTCTGTTTTTATTTTGTTCATTTGTAATTAAAACACATAGGCCTTCAAGTTGATGATCAAAGTTAAGAGGTTATTAATTCCCGGGGCGCCTGGGTGGCTTAGTCGGTTAAGCGTCCGACTTTCGCTTAGGTCATGATCTCGCGGTTCGTGGGTTCGAGCCCCGCGTCGGGCTCTGTGCTGACTGCCAGCTCAGAGCCTGGAGCCTATTTCAGAGTCTGTATCTCCCTCTCTCTCTGACCCTCCCCTGCTCACGCTGTCTCTCTCTCTCTCCTAGAAATAAATAAAAATATTAAAAAAAAAAAGAATAAGAGGTTATTAATTCCCAAGTGACTGATGAGCTCACTGTTAGAACAGTATTCAGCACCTAGAACAGTGCCTGACACATAGTGGATGTTCAATACTTATATTTTTGTGATTGAATTAATATGCTACTAAAACAAGGATGGTCCTCCAAGTGGATAATTATGGAATGGACATTATATAAGTGTGAAAAAGTAGGCGGGTTTTATCAAATGAGAAGTTTGGAGTGGTGTTTCCAAATGGGTGACTTCAAATGTTTTCATTCATTCATTCATTCAAGCAGCAATCTACTGTGTGTCTATTTTGCATCAGCCATAATATAAGTAAGAAGATATTTCTGTCCCTCATGCTAGCACAATAAAACAATTACAAAAATAATTAGTAGGAGAATGTATAAGACACTACATGAGTAACAGCAGGAAACCACTGACAACTTAAATGGGTGTGAAAAGGCATGGCATACCCAGGTACAGCCAGTCATATGATACTGGCTAGCGTGCATGTGGGGACTGGGGAAGGATGAGACTTAACAAACCATAGTTAGGTAGGGGCTAGATCATGATGGGCTTTGTACACCAAGTTGAGAGTCCTAAGTTTTATCCTCTGGAGTAGTGCTTGAGGGTACTACTAAAGGGTTTTAATGCAAAGAAAAGATAAATACATTTTAGGTTCAGAAAGATCTGGATTGGAGAGTTGAGGTATGAGAGACAGAAATCAGCTAAGAAGTTATTAGGACAGTCTACATGGGGACGTGATAATAAATCCTAAAGGCTAGAACTAAGGCAGTAGAAGTAATGTTGGAGAGCAAATGGGTTTGAAGGATACAATTAGATTAGGCTAGATAAGAGAAGTAAGAGAAGGAGAGCTAAGAATGAGTCATAGTTTTCTGACCTGGATTTCTAAGCAGGTGGTAAGGCCATTCTTAGAAATAAGAAACAAAGAAGAAGATCCATACGGATTAAGGATGTCTAATGGGCAAGAACAAGAGAAGTCATTAAAAAAAATTTTTTTTAATGTTTATATATTCTTGAGAGAGAAAGAGAGGGACAGAGACAGAGCACAAGCAGGGGACGGGCAGAGATACAGAATCTGAAGCAGGCTCCAGCCTCTGAGCTGTCAGCACAGAGCCCAACGCGGGGCTCGAACCCATGGACGGCAAGATGATGACCTGAGCTGAAGTCAGACAGCTAACTGAGCCACCCAGGCAACCCAAGAGAAGTCATTTTTGGCCATAGAGAGTTTGAAGTGCCTGTGGTACTTCATGTAAAGATATTTCTTGAACAGATTAAGAAAAGTAGAACACACAGAAGACTTAAGCATATAAGACAGGGCAGGCAGGTAGGTAATTCCTATCCTTAGAATACTTTCCAATCATCTTCTAAATTTCTTCATCTTTCTGTTCACCATTGCACATAAACTTCTATAATGATGACTGATTACTTAAAAATTTGTAAAAATGTGTCCTTGAAAAAAAGTACAGTGTTATTTGTAACAGAAGCTAGTTTATTCATAAGGTGAACACGACCACAATTTGAATAAAAGTGGTTTGTAGGAACCTTTTTGGTAAAATAACAGTGAAATATTATCGTATAATGGTCATTCATAGTAGTGCAAAACATACAAACTTCTTGTTGTATACTTAGGAGTAATTTCTAAATTTTTCGTAAGGTTGAAATATTTAGCTATCAACACTGAAATGCCATGCTCATGTTGACTTACTTCAGCAGTGGGTTTACTAGTGCAGAGGCTCCAGTCAACTGGTAGTTCACGCGGTGGAACCCAGAGAAGAGTAGCAAGGGTGGCAGACATGTCTTGAGAAGTGGGTAACTGTACTGCACTATGGACATGGGGCAGCAAACTGGGCACCAAACCGCAGAAGGACTGGAGATGCACTGAAGGAAATTTGAGGCTGGCTTGACAAAGATGAAGCCTGCTGGTTTACGACTATACGTTCTTGGCAAAGCACAGTGCTGCAGAATTTCACCAGCCATAGTGGAAAAAAGGGGGAAATGGAATGGGAGGAGACCACAAAATCTGTGATATGACACATAAAATGTTAACTATTAGCTTTGCATCTTCTAAGAGTCACCAGATTGAAGCACAAATTTTGTATTTGGCTGGCAGATGGTGTACACAGACTTTTGGAGTATGGTAGCATTTCATCTGAAACTAGCAAGACTACGTAGGACTATCACAGTAATGTAACATTCATAGATTTTAAAATTTATCACTAAACCTGAGTTAAATGCAGGGCTCTAACTCTTTTTTGAGAGAGAGCGAGAGCATGTGAGCGCTAGAAAGGGGCAGAGAGAGAGAGGAGAGTGAATCTTAAGCAGGCTCTACTACCAGCACAGAGCACCACTAGGGCTCCATCTCACAACCCTGAGTTCATGACCTGGGCCAAAATCAAGAGTCAGAGACTTAACTAACCAAGCCACCCAGGTGCCCCCTCTAGTTACATTTTTAAGGCTTTCTTAAAGATACAAATCTCATGGAACAGATTCACAGGATAGAGTAATTCCTCTAAAATGATCACAGGTCAGTGTCCAGGTCTCCTTTCCCTGAAAATCTCGTTTACCCTAGAGAAAAAAGGCCAAAGGGAAGAAAGACTAAACCAGAGGAGATGGCGGTAGTGATGTCTCAATTCTTTGAATGGGACTTCTCCATTTACCAGCCCTGTCACTTCCTTCTATGGTCTGGATCTTTAATTACCACAGGAGTCAGCCTTGTAGGGTCAAGCTAATCTCTGTTGACATCATCGTACTACTTCCCTTTTCAAATTCCAGTGAAACTATGTGTTTCCTGTCCTATTTGACACCCTACAAAAAGAACACGGGTTGGCTGGTATCTAAATTTAGTCCGTCAGCAACGTGCCTGACTTTTAAGGGGAGAGATAAACAGAAACAGGTGACAATTACAAGCTTTTCAAACAAAATGAGAAAAAAATCCCAACCCTTCTAGGGTAAGCAGGGAGAGCTTCAACAGTTCCACAGTAGGGAGAGGCCTGCCTGCAGGTTAAGAAAATGGGCCAACGGAAGCGTTTTCCTTTTCCTTAAAACTAGTAGGACGGCTTTCGGGTAGTCCCTCAGCACAATCCTGATTCAGCTAGTTAAGTCCGGGGAGCGGGAGGCTTGAGAGCCCCTTCTCCAAGCGGAGCGGTGAAGGCAGCCGCACCTCCTCTTTGTCAAGATGTTGGTTTCAACCACAGGCACTAGGAGACCCTGGGGGTGGGAGAGGGGAGAAGCGGACGCCACTCCTTGGCGCGCCCCTAGCGGGCCGGACTTGCGACCCCTTTCCCGCCCCTCCCCCGCCCCACCTACCCTCTGTGACCCCCGCGTCCCGCCTCGGGCGACCTGTTGGCAAGAAGCGTCACGTGACGCGGCTGGGCGCACTGCCCCGAGGCAGGCCTCCTGTTGCGCCCGCCAGGCGGGTTCCATCACGTAACGCGCGGGCGCCGCCCCGCTCTTCCCTCGCGGAGCGAGGGAGGACGGGCGTCGAAAAGGAAAGGAAAGGGAAAAGGGGCGGGAGAAGGAAAAGGAGGGGCGGCGCCCAAGTCACGTGACCCGGGACAGCCCGGAAAGCTCCGAGGAGGAGCCTGGCGCCGCCATTTTCCTGCAGCTGCCTGTCCCTCTTGCCCTGCCCGGCTCCAGCTGACCAGGGAAGGGGTGGGCTGAGCTGAGGCGGGGGCAGGGGAGTGCCGGACACTGTGCCTGACCCCGCGGGTGACACGAGCCGGTTCTTTCCCGGCTAGGTGGCAGCGCGCGGCCCTGAGCCCCGCCCCAGGCCGGCAGGCGGAGAAGGAGCCGGTGGGGGTAGGGGGTGCGGTGGGGGGTGGGGGTCCTCCGGCGCTTGGGGGTCCCAGTCCCCGCCGGCTGCCGAGCGGGAGGGGTGGCGGAGGAGCCGCAGAGATGTCCGGCCAGAGCTTGACGGACCGAATCACCGCCGCCCAGCACAGTGTCACCGGCTCCGCCGTATCCAAGACAGTATGCAAGGCCACGACCCACGAGATCATGGGGCCCAAGAAAAAGCACCTGGACTGTGAGTGAAGCCGACCGCGGCCCATGTCCCCGCGTCTGGCGTTCTTCTCTTCTCTTTTCTTACCCCCTTCGGCCGTCTTTCCTTCCCTGCGTCTTGTCTGGCACGTCGGGTCCTGTGTTGGTCCGAGGTGTGTTTTTGCTTCCATCACACCTGCCTTCGCGGATTCCGTTCCGGGTCTAAAAATCCCTGATAAGCCACTCCCCCCCCCCACCCCCATCCCGGATTCCTAGGGGACCCTCGCTCCCAGCCGGTGCGCAACGATAGCCCATCACACCCGACCAACTTGCCTCTGCACCTAGCTTCTCACCTCCCTGCCACCTCTGTCTGCTGCAGCGTTCTGCTTTCCTCCCACCCGTCCCGTGCTTCCTAGTCGCCCTCTCCTGAGCGTCTCTCCGCTTGCTCCCGGTCGGTCTCACTGCCCCATTGTTTCCCCATTAGCTTTCGGGTTCCGTAGACGCCCGGTTCCGTGGACCTACATCCCTATTTCTCCGCAGTCCTGAAGGCGACCTCCCTTGAAGTGATTTCCACTTCCTTTGCTCCACTAGCTTCTGTCCCTTCCCTTCTCAGGTTTCTCTTCCAGCTTTTCTCTCCCGTTTGGGTTACATTTCTTTGCTTCTGTAGCTTCAGTTAGGTTCCTTCGTCTCGTTTTATGTTAGATATATGATACTCAGTACCCGACTTTTATCCCAAATTACTTTCTTCGTGGGAGTGAAAGTAAAGGGATTACGTTTGGTGTAGGGAACGCTTTGTGGGTAGTTGGGATTTTTCATTGCCTTTGGTGGAATTTAATCATTCTATTTTCATGCTTTTTGGATAAGTTGTGACTATCAGGCCCCCATCCTCCGTGTTTCTTTTCTCTAATGGGGATCTGGAAAAGGATTGGCTGATACTGGTATCATTTCCTGGAACTGTTAACCCTGGCGGTTTGAATTTAGAAGGTTGAATGTGAAGTGTGCATTATTGGAATAAAAAATAGATTAATAATCAAAACTACAGTTTACATACATGTTTTTAAAAATGCTAAAAAGGTGATTGATAATACTTGAGTTTGGACTTTTTTTAAAATTTATGCTGGTTATTTGGGAGGACTAGTTTCTCTTATACGGCATATTACTCCATTCACTAACTTACAGACAATTACCAGAGCTAACTCCTCCCAACTTTTTCCAAACCTGGAAGCCGCTTATAATACCCTCATTTTTCTTTCCTTTACCTCGAGGTACAAGTAGCTCAGTGAATTACTCAAGCTTTGACTCAGTGGAGTGACTTAAAACTTTTCAAGAAAAAACACGGAAATAAGCACAATAATAAGTTCCTTTTTAAAATGGTAACTGGACACATTAGCCTGACTGGCTTTTCATGAAAGTTAACTTTGCTTTACTGTTTGAAGCAAGAGTGAGCATGTCCTGAAAGGGAATTCACTGACAGGAGGCCTGTTTGGATTTCTCATTTGGACTTTGGCTGTAAGGTCTGCACTTTTTAAAAAGAAATGTACAAAATGTGAATTCTTCCAAGATACTTTGCTCATGCTCATGAAGTGCTATTAGAACAAGTTATTTCTACAGACAAACCCATTATTCATTGTGGCTTGTTCCTTTACTGTGGAAAGGTAAAAAAAAAAAAAAAATCCTTACTGCTTGGTTCTCTAATGCACTGATTGAGCATGCTCTTTTTAAGTCCTTGCCTGTTTAGAAAATGCAGAATATATTTATTTATTTATTTATTTTTAAATATTTTTATTTTATTTATTTCTAGGAGAGAGAGAGAGAGAGACAGCGTGAGCAGGGGAGGGTCAGAGAGAGAGGGAGATACAGACTCTGAAACAGGCTCCAGGCTCTGAGCTGGCAGTCAGCACAGAGCCCGACGCGGGGCTCGAACCCACTATGGCGAGATCATGACCTAAGCGAAAGTCGGACGCTTAACCGACTAAGCCACCCAGGCGCCCCGAAAATGCAGAATATATTTAAATGGTGACACTTCTATAAATGGAAAGTTCTTTAAAATGTATTGTGAAGCCATACATGATTTTTTAATTAATATTTGGAGTAGATAGTTTTTACTATTTACTTTCCTTCAAGTGACTGCTTGGCTTGCTGTTCCCAATCATAATGGTTTGCCCTAACTTTGTGTTAATTCTTAATTGTTTTGTATTTTTCTTTTTGGTGATGGGTAGGTGAAGAAACTACTTGTTACTGTATGAACAATTTTTCTTTTTATTCACTTCAAAATGATAAATTATAACAATAACATGTATAACATTTAAAAGTCTTCTGCCTATTTCAAATGTAGGAGTAGTTATTTTAACATGTTATCAAGAAGGGCAGAAAATAGGCTAGATTGGGTTAGGAGAGTGATATCTAATTATGGTTTTATTAGTGCTATTCTTTTTCTCTTGTAATAGCTACTGGGATTAGGTTTGGAGGGTAAACTCACATTTGTAGTACTCTGCTAATGCGGTGTTTATAAGCTCCTACTTTAGAACTTGAATATTTCTAGTATTGTGTGATTTTTTTTTTAATCGATATAAATAAGGAGTCACTACTCTAGTTCTGTTCTGTGAGCTTCTAAAATACTACTTTCCCTATATTGTGTTAAATGCCCTTGTAGCCAGTTTTCAGTAATGACATAAATTTATATTAAGTAAAGTCTTGCCAATGAATGGTTTTTCTAAACACCTTCCTTCCCCCACACACTTTAATGTGTTTCCAGAAAATTAAAAGGCTTTCACAGACATTTCTGTGTCTTGACACCATGTACTTCAGGCTTTAATGTAGAGATAATTTTCCCTCTTGTAGGAATTTTTCTTTCTAGTGAGGGCTTAGTTCTTTTGCACCTTTTAATATCTTGAATAACTGTTGCCTACTTAGTTCAACTCAGTGAAAGCAATTTCATGTTTTAAATGTTAGTATTTAACAAAAATATGCTTAGGACTGGTTTTCTCACATAGGCGTTTAGACTGGAGGTGGTTTCTGTGTACTTCACCAAAGTCTTTCCATATTAGGAAGTAATTATTATAACCTAGGTATTATAGCTTAATTCATAGTACATTATATACTTGCTTAAGAAAGATCTTTTGCTTTGGTTATAGGTGGCTGTAGATAATAGTGTTAACTAGGTCCTTAGTGTGAGGAGTTATCCAACTTGAAATATATGTAAAAATAAACATGATTTGCATTTAGTTTCTTACCTCTGATGGTCATAATGAAGATAGAAGAATAGCAATTTCCTTAAATTGGAAAGTGTTCCAATTTACCAGGCACTTATTAACTAACCATTATCTGATTTAACCTTCTCTCATGTCTATGGGAGAGGCAAGCCACATGCTTAGAAAATAGTTTCTACCTCCATTAAAACATCCATAATGATTGAAGTATAAATAAAACACAGTTTTTAAATTTATAAATTCTTAATTTAAAAGACATTCTTATCTAACTTCACGACCTTGAGCCTTATTTTGTTTTTTGTTGTGAATACTTAATTTTCTTTTTTTGTTGTGAATACTTAATTTTCTTTTTTCTATACTTGTTTAACTTACTGTCCTTGGGCATTTACATTGTAACATGTTGCACTGAAACGTAATATTTATGTTAATGGCTATAATGGCTTCACTTTTTTGCCCATATTTTCTCCCAGTTAACTTCCAGGGACACTTCATTTCAGCCATCATCTGCCTTAGATTCTTTTTTATTTGTTTGTTTTATTTATTTTGAGAGAAGGGGAGGGGCAGAGAGAAGGAAAGAGAGAATCCCAAGCAGGCTTCATGCTGTTAGCACAGAGCCCGACAAGGTGGTTGATTCCACAAATTGAACTGTGAGATCATGACCTGAGGTGAAACCAAGAGTCAGACACTTAGCCCACTGAGCCACCCAGGTGTCTTTGCCTTAGATTCTTGACAACAAATTGAGGTCTTGTTCTTATTAGACATCCATTACAGCCATATCTCTATAGTAGATATAGTGTGGGTATTTGTGTGTTGTGTGCTGGATCTATATCCTGCCTAAATTTAGTTGTGGAAACAACTTTTTTAAGAGTTATAATTTATGAATGTATTGAATATGTAGAAACTGGAATTTGTATTTGGATTAGTGGTTTCTATAACCACTGAAAATATATGTGAAATATAAAAAAGTTCCTGAAATAATTACCTTTTTAAGCAAATGTATTGATTTTTAGTGTCTTGATTAATGACATCCAGTGGGTGCTTAGTTTGCATATTGTTAAGAAGGTATCTGATAACTGGGATCTGGTTTATAAGAAGATGCATGTCAGGAAGATATTAAGTGGGAAGTCTGCCCTAAGATGTGTCTTGTTTAGAAATAAAGTAACTGAGAATGGATCTTGTGTTAAAGAGGTAGTTATTTTGTGGTTAATGTATTTCCCTTAAGAATTAATCATATGATATGTATTTTCACTTTTCATTATTTGACCGATTCTGTTCCTTACTATTTAGTCTTTAATAGTTCTGAAATACAGAAAATGGTAATGGAGTCAAATATGTCAAATGGTTATGTAGTAGAACTACACAAATGTAATTTTCTCCCTCATCATACGTAGGTATGTTTCTGAATTGTATATGTTTTGAAAGGGAAACTCAAGAGAATTTGGTATATAAACATTTTGCTAGCTGCCTTATTCATAATTAGCAAATTATTTCTAGAATGCCTTTGAAAAGGAATTAGGCTGCACTGGACCTTTATTTTTTTTTTTTTATATTTTTATTTATTTCTAGGAGAGAGAGAGACAGCATGAGCGGGGGAGGGCCAGAGAGAGAGGGAGATACAGACTCAGAAACAGGCTCCAGGCTCTGAGCTGGCAGTCAGCACAGAGCCCGACGCGGGGCTCGAACCCACGAACCGCGAGATCATGACCCAAGTGAAAGTCGGACGCCTAACCGACTAAGCCACCCAGGCGCCCCGGGACCTTTATTTTTAAAAATACCTAATATTAGACTCTAGACGTTTATTTTTTATCCTTTTAACAAGACTTTTTATGTTTACTAT